TATTAACAAACTGACTTCACCCTTGCCTATTTTGTTGATGTTCACATCATCTCTTCTGTTTCTGCCATCACAGGTGATGCTTCAGCTCAGCCTCTACCACCACCCTTCCAGACGGTTGCACCAGGATTCCTGGCCCACTAGTTAGTTACCTCTACAAGCTCAGAAAGCAGTGGGGTCACTCATGCGTCCCCAGGCCTCCCACTTCTTCCTATTTTTAGCCCCTCTTCTCTTCCTGCCTTCCCTGCCCTGCAGTCATCCCCTACGCAGCTGCGGCCTCCTGTGCACGTTTTCTAAGCTGGGCGCCTCCAGTCAGCACTCCTCCATCCACTCTCCTCTCCCAGAAATAGACCAAGCTTCTCTCTGCCTCTTGTTCCATCCTGTTGTCTTTATTTCTATGGCCTTTTATTCTGGTCATTGTTTACCACCACTCTAATGGGAGGTAAGCAGGGGAGGAAGGGGGGAAGGGAGAAAGAGAAGATGCATGTATTTTGAATGGGCATTTCAGCCGGAGGTTCTCAAAGCAGGGGATATGCATTTTTCTTATGATGGATCCATGCATTCAATCAGTTTTTTCAAAGAGGTCTCTGATTCCCCAATTTTAAGCTTAAAACTCAGAGTTAAAATGCCTAATATGGCCAGACATTCAAGGAGAGGGAAAAAACACCTAACCATATCATTTTCAAAATACAGGCTTCACATGCCTTACATCATTAATCATACTGGTTTCTTATTCAAAATACAGATTCTTGGCCTTACTGAATTCAATCAACTGGGCCCAGGCCTCTCAAACTGCATGCTTAACAAGCTTGTGATGTAATTTAATATTAATATCAATATTTTTTATTTATAAATTAAATTGGTGTCATTTACTATCACATCAGAAACACAGATGATTTATACCATTTATGCACTTGCTATACATAAACATGTAATATGTGTTATTTAAAGACAAAATTACAGATGACAGGCCTCTTACCAAAGTTTGGAATGTAGAATTGAAAGAAAACCATATACTCTTAGTGCCTTTTAAAATATGCTGTATGACAAACTTTTGACTGATCTCACTGAAATATTTGTAAACTTAAATATTTTCTCAAGCATCATCTATAAAATGCAACAAGGAGATAGCTGAAACTTGCATTCAGTGATCACACATCGTAACTGCTGTTCATTACCAGTGCCTCAGCCTCCTTTCCCTAATTTCTACAAGTTTAAATATCAGAAATTGAGGTGGGGTTTTCATCATTTTTTTAACAAGAATTTCTTAATGGCTTCATATGATTTTTTTTTCCTCTCTGGTTATTTTCAACTTGATTTTTCAGTGGCAAGATTTTCAGTTGCAGAATTTTGTCAGGTATAAAAGTCAGGCTCAAAGGTCAGTAATTCTCAGGTACAGCCTGTTTCATTTTCTAAATCATCTTAATGTTCTAAACTGCTCAGTTGTCAAACTGTCCACACAGCTTCCCTTCTGAAATGCAGCTGTTGAACAGAAAGAAAGAACAGTGCCAAATGACAGCATAAAAACTGAGAGGGATGGTTTGTAGGAAACTCTTAATTGGCACTTTATATGACATTTTAAAGGCATTAAGTATTTCAAAGTCATTAAGAATATTGTTATTATTATACAAGTCATTTTAAAAGAATAAATTTACCCACTAGGCTGTTAACTCCTCAGTATGAATTTCCTTTGAACAGTGAATAATCTACAGTGATGTTCTTGTACTCTCATACTATAATTAGAATTAACAACTAAAATTTTTCAAATATTGTCTTTAATTAGAACTAATCCAATGTATTTTGTGACGCTGCTCCTTTTTAGGGTTGGACATCAGCATTTTCATGAGCATGTGTTTCCTTCTTATCCGCTTTATGGTATTTGACTTATAAACGAAGAAGTAAACAAACTCAGTAATTTCTAGGGTAATCTGTAACCCTGACAAGTATGAAATTTCATCGGTGTTTTCTTTCTTTCAAATCTATTTCCACCGAGGTGTGCATTGTTTGTCTCTCGTTTTCATTTTGAATACTTCTCTGCTCCAGATTCATCGGCTACTAATTGAGCATTCAACATACCACAGATGTGAGGTGTACAGGAATGCATTCCAGAAAAGATTAAACAGGAGGCTGCCAATTTGCAGTTGGACTTTAACCTGCTTGCTTTGAATAATGCTTGAATATAGATCCTAATTCACAGGCTTGGTGTGAATATTATTAAACCTTTCCTACTACTCCCTTGAACTTTGAATGTTCACTGACCTGTGAAGATAGCCGAGTGGATAAATAAACTGATACTTAGACCTGGCAAACCAGAGGGATATTAGAAAGAGAGCTAATCTTGATTTTCTTTTTTACTTCATGTTGCATGTTGTATTGATTTTTTTAAACTAAGACAAAATTAAAAATGACACACATAAACTGACTTCCAAATCTTCTTTTTAAATGAATTGAAAGTGGTGGAGTCATTAACGTGTATCTGAGTCTGCCTGGTTTTACACCCTCAGCTTCACATTGGCTGGTAGTCGCATGAGTTACAAGCGGCTTTAGCTTCAGAAGGCAATTGTCTATGAAAGGAGAAGGTCCCAAAGAAGAAGGGCCCTAAGGGCTGAGAGGTCAGTTCCTGCCACACCATCCATCTTACTCTGTATATTCTTTTATCTGGAACTTTCTTGAAGCGAGTAGTCAGAAATGTCCAATGTTGTCACAAAGAACAAGGAAGATTAATGCTAAAGATATTGTTTTTGTTTTTGCTTGAGTCAATTAGAGGCCAGAGATGACCTTGTGAAATCAGGTCTTGTAGAGAGGTGAGGACATAATTCAGATATCTGGGTGAGGAGTGAAGGAGGGGTAAAGAAGTGGGAAATAGTAGAGGTGGGTTCATCTGTCAAGAAGCCAAGCAACCATTGCTAGAAGATGAGCTCCTCTGGACCCTTATCAAGAAGTCTCCTCGAATTGTGCAGTCCACAACCTGGACAAACTGAAGCAGGGACCTAGTACCCATAGTTTCTATTATCTGCAACACTGAACACTGAACACACATGACACTTAATGCATAAACTTAATGAATGTTTCTTGAGTGACATCAAAGAGAAAATGTACATAAAAAGAAGAAATGATTTTTACCAAGAAGCTAGTGATGAAAATGAAAAGAAAATCATGTTTATATTTTGAAGATTATACTAAGAAATAATTCAATTTTATTTTGAGGATTAGCCAGAAAGAAACATAATGATAGTAATAATAGCACAGCTTTCTGTTGGCATCAAGTTTGACAGCTCCTGGCACCCTTTTTTTTTTCATATTCATTGTCTATTTCTTTATGGAAAAGTGCAGTATAGGACATTTAGGGAAGAACTGTAACCTGAAGAACATTAAAGGTGAGACAAAATGAGAAGGCAGGAAAAGCTCTTAAAATAAGAGTTTTAACAATGTTAACTCATGGTGTTGTGTGGTTAAAAAGAAAGACTAAATTACCACACAGGAATAACCCTGGGATCAGGATGGGTGAGAGAAGCATGGCATATACGACCTCTGAAATCAGCCTGTTTCTTCACCATTTCATGTTAGGGTGAAACATCAAACAGCCTTCTATGCTTTCTGATTAAAGCTGGACCAGAGAGCAGAAATTGGGGGAAGAACTCAGAAAAAAAGAAAGACAAAAAAGCTACAAAGATTACTCAAGACTAAAGAAACAGGACCTGCTATCAAAGAAAGAAAGTTTCTGTAAATCCTTATTCACTGTTTCAGAATTCATGGTGATTAACATAATGGAACTTATAATTATCATAGAAATATCCAAAACTTGGCTAGAAGATCTTTGTACCAGCAGATCTTCATCAAATGCTCTTTGGTTTACCTAGTTCAGCTTCCCTGGGGTAAGAGCGTTCTAACAAAATCTTGTGGTGGTTAATGACTGCGGCAAGGATAGAATAAAAAGGAACATGCCAACTCATCTAGATTAAGTAAGCAACGGAGGAGTTAGTTTAAACAGAGGTTGTCAGAGGGGGGTTTTGGAATCTACTTCACTGGAGAGTTTTAAAAATAGGCCAGGCTCTCATCTCTGGGATGGCTTCAGCCTGCGGAGGAGCCGGAGGACAGTCACAGGCCTCTCACGTTCCCTCCCACCTCCCCGTGTCTAAAGGCTAAAACAATATCTGAGGAGGCCTCTGGGCACGGGGAGCCCGCAGTCATCCAGGTTCATTTCTAACTTGAGTTCTTTCTGACCACATGGAATGATAAGTATATAAGTCAGGGTGGGGTCAGAATGTTCCCTCAGCCACACTGTTGGCATTGCTGAGACAGGGCACTCTGTCTACCGGCACTGTGGGCTGAAAACCACCAAGGAAACCAGTTAGTACTGAACGATAGTGCTCTGCTGGATTTTGTTTGTCCCATTTTTGTGTGTGTGTGTGTGAAAATATAGTAAGTGACACTAACTGGAAAGGAAATTCATTTAAAAATCTGAAAAACATATGGGGAAAGAAAGAACCCTCATATTCTCAAGAGGGGAGGTTCTAATGTCAAGCATTTGATTCCAACATTAGACCCCAACATTTAGCATTTGAATTTCCTTGGGTCTGAGGCTTATCCAGGACTGTCATCCGTTGCTAGCAGATGGGGGCGGGGGCAGGTTTCCTCTTAGGAAATGAGCCCCACTCCAGTCCTCTAGAGCTTCTGGGTAATGGCCAGCTTCTCACAAAAGGAGACAAGACAGCAGAGCTGACAGGCACAGACAGAGCTGGCTTGAAATATCATGCACCCCATCATTTGGTGGGTGGGTGTTGCTGCGAACTGTGCTTCCACTTCAACAAAGAAAGTGGTGAGTTGCCAAAAAACAAGGATGTTCCCTCTTAAGGATGATGCTGAATTCTTTCCAGAGAAGTACTTTTTTTTTAAAAAAGATGAATTTTATGCTAAAATATTTTCCAAATTTATTTAAGCACTCTATCCAAAGAAAATAATTAAAGTATTATGCCGAGTAACTAGAATCTTTAGAATGAGAACAACTTTCTCTCAACAAAGGTCTATGTTTATTCATCAAGTGGTCTCAGCTGGCCTGTGTAGGGTAGGGTCCGGCCAAGGTCACAGTGATGCAGGCTGGCCAAAGGAGACAGTGGACCTGGCAACCCACAGCCTAGTAAATTTACAAACAGGTGGTGAAAATAGAATTCTGTTCTTTTTTAATTGTTCTTTCCTCATTGCCTCCCTTAATTGCTGCTTTTCTGAAAGGTCGGTTTTGTTTTCTTTAGGAAAAGGAGTCTTTCTTTCCTCTCCCAAATACTAAGTTGATGCCCTTCCCTAGAAGTCTTCCCATTAATTAAGTTGGCCTGAAGGTCATAAGCCATAATCAATATGGAGGCCGGTTGCTGCAAGGTGCTAATTGACATCCCCAAAGAGGAATAGTGTCAACAATCAATAGAGAAGAGCAGAGCACGGGGAGATTTATGGCTTTGATTTTGAAAAGGTATGGGAATGCCCAGTGATGTTTTCCCCCGTACTCCTTTTGAATGTTAATGCTTTCTTGAAGATGATTTCAGACACACTGCTAGGATACTGCCTCTACTCACTGAAGCAGAATCCTCTGAAGAGTTGCTGAGGCAGAACTGAAGTCATGGCTCGCCTCAGAGAAGCAGCTGTATTGGCCGCTAATGATGCCTCACACAGGAAGACGATGCTCCTTTAACTCGGGGGTTTTGATGGGAAGTTTCTAAGCCTGAAACAACAGCTTTAGATCTGGGGTGTGCCACCAGCTGCTTGCAGCCACTACTGTCTACTGCTTTAACACAGCTTGGTCGGGAAGAATGGAAACTAAAGAGGCTTGTAACTACCTGTAACTGTTCCACCAGGAAATGGATCAAGTGTTTGTTCAACCAGATCCAGGTATTTGACCAAAATCTGTGTCTATGATGGGCTAATTAAATGCTTTTCTCTAACTTTGCAATCTGTGCATGAGCAGTAATCGCATGGATGCCTTTCGGATCCAAGTTCTGAATTTAGATCTAGCTGTCAGATAAAGTCTAATTAAACAGTTGCTGGGTAAAGTTAATGTAAGGGGGTGAAATGTAATTATGCCTTTGTTTTTAAAGCATGTTTAAGTTTATAATGCTACTGATACTGGATAAAGGAATAGTAAAACAAGGCTTTTCTTTGCTAGACTGCAGTAAATTATTCCTCAAAGCTCTTTGCCCATTACAATATTTTTTGCCGTTCAAACCTTTCAAAATGTAACAGGGATGTTTTAATTTGTTTATAAAGGATCACAAAGCAACAACTCCTAATGATAGGGCTGACTGTCCCTTGCATCCCTAGGTGATGAGCAGTGAGCAGCCCTGGCCTTTGGAGATAACAGCAGACAAATTTCTTTTTCTTTAGGAAACACACGAGGAAAGAGAAAGAAAACTGGGTAGAACAATAAGCTGTATTGTTTTAAGTAAAAAGTTCCATCTTGCTGGTGGTGCCTTCTGCTACCCCCATGTACTGCCTGGGAACTCACATGGTATTTTTCTAATGTTCTCAGCAAGGCTGCAGCATTGCCCTGCAGTCCCTTTAAAACTCTTTAAGCAGATGCTAGGAGGAAGATGAAGACAGGGAACAAGTAAAGCTGAGGTTAGGGCTCAGGCTGAAGACAAAGATCTCCTGCCGACCTAGAGCTGACAAGCACGGTGAACGGGGTACAACAGGGTCCACTCCCAAACCCGAGCAGACGTGTCTGCAGACTGACTTTGCAGGCATGGCCAGAGGAAACAGACCTCCCAGTGCAGCAGTGAGGGCTGGCAACAGTTCTAAAACTGCCTGTTGACATTTGTAGCTGGGCACATTCACTTGTCTTTAAAATCATTGTTTATGGGCTTTCTACTAGCCTTGGGTCTATTTTTTGAGTGTATAAAATAATATTTACTCTTAACCATCCTGTGAATTCTGAAGCAATGGGGCTATTGTATTGGAATGGGAGGACTGTATTTGGAAAAGAAGAAAATACAAGTTGCCATGTATTTATCACAGCCAAAAAAATAGGAGGAGGGTTGGTTAAAATGCATGAAGTACCTAGAAAGAGCCAGGAAATATTTACCTGAAGTTCTTGGCTGGCCACCAAGATTCTTTGAATTTATACGAAATATTTTGTATCTCTGTGTGTATATCCTGGAATGCAAGTTACTGTTCACTGGGCTCACAGACAGAATTTCCACAAGATTCACAGGAGGGTAACTTTTGCTTAGGTAGTCATTTGATTACTTAGATGATGAGGTGGCTTTGGTGGAGGGCTCACAGCTGTAAGGGGAGATGTAGGATGGGGTTGACTGGGATGTGTACACGTCTGGCGGGATGGAGGGTGGGGTGTAACTCCAGAGACTCCAGCTATACAAACAGCAATGCAGCTGAGGCTTCCTTTAGTTCCAGTCGAGAGGGATTCTTTTCTCCCTCAGTCTCAGGATATGTATTACTTCAATCACTGAAAGCCACGTTAACATTTCAACAGTCAGCTTCATGACTGTTGAAGAATAATGCAGCAGTTTGGGTAAGTTTGCCTCTGCCAGTCACTGCAAACTCAGTCCTGCCTACCTCGCCAATTCCCTTCCTGTTACAGTCCACAGATCGGTCTCACTCGGCAGCCAGATAAATACAAACAAGGTACACAGGGTGTCTTTGTGGGACAAAGTGTCCTGTCCGTCACATGTGAGTGAAACTGGACAAGCCCCTGAGTGTTCTTGCTCAATGGACAGACTGTTTTTACATCTACTTTTGAAAACATGTCAAGTCACATAAGCAGGTTTCTGGCTTAGAGGTTTTAAAAATTAGGTACAGCAATTACTTGGTTTAGGAGTACTTAAAACACAGACAGCGCCGCTTCACTGCACCCTGCATGCCATTAGCAGCCAAGGGATGAGGACTTCCTACTCACTGCAACGTGCCAGAGAGAAGCCTGTGATCCCACACCCCTTGGGGGATGGTACTCTTTTGAGTTTTATGATTTGGGGCTCCATTCCTTCATGGGAAATTAGAAATAAACCTCGTTTTGCACAAAGATGAGACAAAGAAAAACACACACTCATCCTTACCTATTTCTTGAACACTCACTACATGCCAGTCAGGACGACACATGTACTGCATCTACCCATTGTGGGAGGGAGGGCGCATGCATCGACGACCGCAAAAGCGAGCAGGTGGAATCAAACGCCTGGGTGTGGTTTCACAAAACAAAGGGGCCAAGTCGCACTCTGTCTGTGGAGTGTGTACCTACTTTTACTTTAACCTGAGCACCCAACCCCCATAACTCATGACCCTTCTCTTGCCTTTTGAAACAGCCTACACTCGATGCAGTATGTATCTCTCTAAATAAATCTACCTTTATTCAAAAAACAAAACCAAAAAACAAACAAAAAAGGGGGCCAAGTGCACTGAACAAATCCTGTTGCTGTCACTTGAAAAATAAGAAAAGAAACATGCCATTGCTTGAGGGTATATTTTCTTTCGATAAAATATTTTCCTTATTGTGAAATTGTACAATGAGATGCTAACGAGATGTCTGAAGGACCCAAGCTTGAGAAGGGTACAGGTTGACAATGATAGTTTCCATGTAAGACAGTTGGATTCAGGATATTGTCAATGACTACCCTTCTCCACAAAAAAGCAATTCAGGTAAGAAAGGACTGACACTTTAAGCAGAAAGGAGAGTGCTTAATTCCAGTGGACCCCACCCACCAGCACTGAGGGCAAGGAAAAATTTAAAAGCCAAACAACCGCTTTTTAAATCATAAGATATGTGACTACTAAAGTGTCACTGAGACTTAGACTATTTGTGATTCTTTGAAACGAGATCTATTTCAAACACAATGGTCTGACATCCCAGTCCGGCTGGAAAACATGTGCTCCCAGCCCCCCACCCCTCCATCAGATGGCGTCTCCAAGTTTGAATTCAGTTTCCTGGACTTGAAGGGGAAGGCGACGAACACCGTAGAGACGGGCCCTGTAATAGGTGCTGCTGCAGGATGCAGGGGAGGTACTGCTGAAGACACAGCAGGAAGCCCCCGTGCCCTTGGGGAAGGGAGAGACTGGGCCCCCCAGGACCGAGGAGGAGGGACTGATTCTGTGTGGGCCCCGAAGGCAGAAGAGAAATCCCCAGGTGGGAACAGGGGAGGGAGGAGAGTATCAGGCAGAGAGCGTCATGACTCAAAGCTCGGAGGTGGGAAACCTGGAGGTGTTCAAAGAACAGCAGGTGTCAGGTGGAGCTGCAGAGCAAAGTCTGGACGGTCTGCTCAGGTGTCTGCAGATAAATTGCATGTAAGTTTGTTCTTATCCACTGGTTTTTGTGCTCGAAACCAAATGTGATGTGATGTTTGTTCCTTTTTAAACTTGTTATGAAAATATGTTAATACCTTAGAAAAACCCATTGTCAGTATGACCCAACTTGTGGTCCAGGAAACAGGGGTACTGGGTCCATAAGGGGGTTAATGGGTGGGTTAGGGTCTTGGACATCAGAAGACAAAGGCTTTTTGAGGGGAGGAGTGGTACGATCTGAGCTTAGAAAGATGAACCTTGACGCAGTATGAAGGAAGTATGGGGAAAGAGAGAGAGGGCTTCTTTGAAAATTACTTTAAAGTAAGTGGTCAGTGGTTAGGATAACTGGGCTAGGATGCACTGCTCACATGGGGCTTCATAAGTAATTCAGGGAATTTACATTTTGAGAATATCAGAGTCCAAGGAGCTTGGTTTGCTCCAAAAGGGATGTAGTATATAACTTTTGAAAATGGCGTCTTTTAATTAAGGTTTCCTGGGTTCATATTAAAATTAGACTTTATTTCCTGAGCACACACAAATGGAGCCGGCAGAGGGAAGACAGGTGTGCTGCGTGATGGGGGAAGTCAGGCAGGATTAAAATACTGCCGTGAGTAACTGTGGTCCTTCTTAGACTTAAAATAACTGCCTTTTCTTATTATTAACACTTCTGATGGTTGTGTCAAAATCTTTTGAGATAATGTACCTGCCTAGATTCCACTATTCATCTAAAAGAGACATTTCATTATCTATTTAAAAGCAATCATAAACATTTTCTGAGAATCATTTCTACCAAAAAGGAATGTGTTCACCTAAGAGAGACATTTTAAAAAATCTAGATGTCTTTGAATAGTTTTGTACTTGGGTAGCCAAGTGGTAACATTTCTTTCTCTGCATCTTATTATATGGATGCTTCCTTTAACTTAAACATGCTGTGGAGCTTTCCAAATCTGTAAATTATTGACTAGCTGACTGCGGTTTAAAATCATGCAGGCTCTTCTAGGGGTATCAATCAGTCCTAGGCAACATTGTGAAATAGCTGGCATTTCTTTCTAGATCACTGGATCTCCATCTCCCTTTATAACCATCTCCTGCTCTTCTCACCTCTGCACCCCTCCCTCCGCCGGACTCTTCTGCTGGGCCATCTGTTCACGCATCCCATGTCTGCTTCCCACAAGACCTCTCCTGCAGCCCCTCACACTCAGCAAGATCTTCCCTCAATTTCCTTGCTATCTACTGTTTTTCTTCCTCCTTCAAATAGGATCAGTACTCAAAGACAAATCCCTACCAACGTTTTAATGCGTCACTTTCCTCGGCAAAATACTGCAGTTTAATAGAGGCCTTTGATGACTGGACTCAATGACGTCATTTTAATAGGAACTTGGGTACCACGTGCTGGGACGGGAGAGGCTTACAGTTGATACAGATCTGTAGAGTTCTCAAAATGCTTTCATCTCCATTTATTATCAATTTGGTACATCTAAAAGGGGTTGGTGATGAAAGGGTGGGAAGATAGGAATATGTATTTATATTCTGGCAGGCTTCTCAAGACCCGTGATCAGGCTGCAAAGAGGGTTAACCATACCCTTGCATCTGCCTTTGAATCAGCATAGGGTGGTAAAATTGCAAATTAAAACTGAGTCTTTAATCATTCTAATATTTGGCTTCCCTGTGAAGAAGCCAGACCTCAGACTCTGGAGTCTGGAGTTGTGACTGATAATCTGAATCGGGACGACTTGGTCATTTACTGGGGCTTCTTAGAATGGTTGTCCATCACGACAGCCCCCACATGAATGGAGTCCCAGTTCTAAAACCTGAGTTATGGGATAAGCCTGGGAAATAAGAGACGTTGAGCTAGGAGAAAAGGATTTGGTAGAACAAGGATGCAGAAGACTGGTCCAGGGTGTCATGATGGCATTCATCAAGTGGAGACCAGGCCTGGGAAGGGAGGGACTGAACAGGTATTGCTATACTAGATTGCCAGCTTATGGCTAGAGAGTTATTATCATGGGCTCAAAAGGTTCTGTATCCAGTTCTTCACTGTTTTCATTGAGTCTCACAGATCCAGAAATCTTTATGTTGTAAATTTACACAGTTAATGGTCCTCATTTTTCTTATATTTCCTTTTTGGATTATATAGTCTTTCCATAAAGAATACTTCCTGAAAATGTATACTTGTCTCAGCTGTGTTGAGAACAGACAGAGAAAAGGACTCTGGCTTCAGTTGGGCTGGAGGAAAAGTGGACATAGAAAGGGATTCAAGGAAGCCAGTAGGGAAGGCAGGAGTCAAAGTGACAGGTCCTGAGCAGGACATAAAAGGACAAGAGGGAACATGACAGGTATTGCTTAGACAACTATTCCTCTATCACCACCTGGCTTTTTTTTGACCCAGCACCTGGAAAATTTTATATTTGCTATATTTAAGTTCAGTTTGAGTATGTGAATGTCCTTAGTTAGAAGCACTAGGGAGAGTTGCCTTGGAAGATCTGGCCAACCTTTCCTGCCCCTTCTCCAGTTACCTCTCAGACAGGGAGGGTGCTTAACAACAAGCAAATTAAAACCAAACCCAATCCATGAATATTCTCTGTGTTACTAAGGAGGCTTTTAAAAAATAGAATCAAATTTTATCCCAATCTTACATTGAAATAAAAAAATCATTAAATCTATCGCAACTATTCTAGCCTTTAGAAAGTCCAGAGTCATGGAGCTGCAAACTATTCTTTTCCGCAAACTAGTAACTCATTCCTCCCAGATACTGGTTGTAAATTCCTTTAAAAACTGCTTTTTAACTTTGACTTTGTAAATTTTGAAGTGTCAACATACACGCAAAACTGTTAATATGATCACTAATGCTATACTTCAAGGTAATGATTATAAGCTAACTTAAGAAATACTGTGTTAATCCTTTCGGTCAATAATTTCTATTTGTCTTTGGTTGCTCATTTTCATTGAGCATAATTTCTTTTGAAGCCATGTTAATTTCCATAGATGACTATGTAATTTTTCTTACAGATTCATAAATATGTCATATGATTTTTCTATACAGTAATATAGATACTTCTCTTTATAAAACATAATTTAAATAGATTTAGTTCAATATATGAAGGTGTTCATGGCCTTTGTGTACAGTTCAATTTGCCTTTAAAGACAAACAGTAAGTATCCTTATACCTTAATTTTTCTACTAGCAAAACATAACATCTTTTTCCTTCTCTTCCTCTCACCAAATGGTCTTTAACAAACAGTAGAAAGCTGCCGCAAGGCTTTTAAAAATGCAATCAATTTCTCTTCCCTGGCTCAGTTCTCTAGGTCCTTCCCAGGGTCAAGTATTGAACCAGGTTTTGTTTTTTGAAGAAAAGAGAAAAGGCAGCAGGAGTCTGATGGTTTGGGAGTCTGAGACATCCTTTTCCCACGGTCCAGGCTAGAGAGAGCAAAGGAGAGGTATCGTAGCTCCCTTAGTCCTGCCTTCAGTGAAGTAACACTTTGTTTTGTTTGTTTTTCATCTTCACATACTTTTCAAAGGCTTTTCACAGACATTCATCTTCATGACAGCACCATGAGATACACAACCATTTCTATGTCCTTCATTACAGCTTAGTGACCTCTTCAAGGTCCCACACTCATTGGAGACCAGAGGCTGGACATTTCAGCCTCAGTTTCCTCTCCTTGGGCTAGAGGTCCCTGCTTTCATGAAGCTTGCAGTAGAGTGGCTCATTTCTGTTGTGTTTAGCCACTGCCCTGGCACACAGCAAGTGTCCGTTCAATGGTATTATTGTAAGAATGATGTGAGAGTACTATTATTGGAGGGAATCTAGAAGAGACTTGGCAGGGAGGCTGGGTTTGGATGTCAAGCTGGCAGCACACCCTGAGGTCAGCATTACTTTGCACATTTCTCATCTCCTGTCCTCTGGTTGCCTTCCCTGCCCAGTCCTCCTGGCCCCAGGTGGCTGCTCTGAGGACAGCCTGGTAATTTCATGCAACAGTAACATATCTTTCCCCATAATTATACAGAATTAAATATCCCTGGTGAAAAGTTTAGCGAGTCCTTCTTTTCTCTGAAAAATATGAAGATCAGCCTAGAAATAATGTTGTTTTTTGGTGTTTATTCCCTTTCCTTCCCTTTCTTTCTTCCTGCAGCCTCTCCAGGGTGCAACCACCATGATCTCAGCAGTCTGATGATGGAAAAGAAAGAACCTGGGAGATCCTGTGCTCCAGTTTCCCTGGACGATGGAGGGAGGACACCCCGTCCCTTCACCTCTGGTGCCCCTTGGGAATGTGTCGTCAGATTCTAGCATGTCTCTGGAGCAGAAAACCACATTTGTTTTTGTGATTTTGTTGTTTATTTTCTTGGGCATCCTCATCGTGAGGTGCTTCCGGATTCTTCTGGACCCGTATCGGAGCATGCCGACTTCAACCTGGGCCGACGGACTTGAAGGCCTGGAGAAAGGGCAGTTTGACCATGCCCTTGCCTAGCGGGACAGGAGCAGGTGCTGCTTCTGAGGAGGAGAAGTGATTCATGTCTTCACAAGGGATTCTCTTCCATCAACATTCTCAGCAACTCAAGTTTTAACCATATCTGGTTCTAGGACCACAATCCATTTATTTGGTAGACATTTAAGGATATTGGAAATGGAGATTTCTATTACTAACTGAAATAGGAAAGTTTGAATTTCTATATTTACTCAATGAATGAATGTTGTTGAAAGCATGTGATGGTGAAACCAAGAGCAACAATAGTGACTTTGCCTAAAATGAAGCACTGTCAGACCTGACCAGAGTATAAGGATTAGAAAGGATTTGATCTGAATCTGATGACAGGGCCAAGAAGAGGCTTCCTCACTCTAATTCTGTCTCCCAGTTTTGTTCTATTTTCATGGGAATCTGGGTGCTGGGCAGAGAATGAGGAAGATTGTGCTGAGTGGCCTCAGCACAGGTACTTGTCTTCTCCTACAGCAAAGAGCACTGGGAGGCAATGGGAGGGCTTCGAAGAGGTGGTTCTATCCCTGGAAAACATGAGTGAGGATGATATCACTTTATTTTTCCAATAAAACTGATTTCAAAAGCTTACGAAGGTTTTAAAACTATTTACCAGGCCAAGTGCATTCTAGGTATTCATATTAGTAACATGTGTAGAGGTAGCTATGCATAACATTGAATTTACTGTCTTTGCACAATTGATTGAAATAATAGGTTGCAAATGCCGCTTCAAGTTGTTTTGTTTCAAATAAAAAGTTAATTGTTTAGAGAAGACTTTTACAGTCTTCAGAGGAATGTGTGTATATGGCTGAATACAGAAACTAAATAAAACTGTTCAAGAAACAGAAGTGTCTCCTCTCTTATTCCAGCACTCTGGAGGCAGTGTGTTGTACCTCTGTTCTGAGAAGGAGAAAAAGAGCAAAGACCATGAAAAGTCATCTAATTCATTCCTCTCCCCTTTCAGAAAGGGCTCCCACAAATTGTCCTGACCCATGAGACCTATTCTGAGCACTGTTTTAAGTCCACCAAAAGGAAAGATGTGAAACCTCTTATTCCAACTTCTGTATTAATAGGAACAAACTTGCACCTAAACTAAACTCCTCAAGTTGTATTTATAGTCTGTATCATCTAACTTTCTCCTCAGTTAGCCATCATTTTTTAAATTGAAAAGAAGTTTAAAAAGCCAATTGTGCCTAAAAAGGCAGCCCTTAGTAAAACTGCTAACTTGTCTCTTATTTAAAACATTTTGGAGGTCCTTCTGTCCAGATTTCCTTCCTCTCCATGTTTCCTCTTGAAAAATAACAGCTTTATTGAAATATAATTCACATACCATAAAATTATCCTTTCAAAGTACATAAATCACTTTTAAATCGCTTTTAGTAATTCACAAAACTGTGTGACCATCATCACTAATTCTAGAATTCCATACCCATCAGCAGTCACTTCCCATCCCTCATCCTCTCAGCCCCTGGTAATCTCTAATCCACTTTCTGTCTCTGTGGATTTGCCGACTCTGGATATTTCATATTAATGGAATCAAAGAACACATGGCCTTTTGTGTCTCACTTCTTTCACTTAGCATGTTTTCAAGATAGGTTCAACCATGTTGTAGCATGATCAGTACTTCATTTCTTTGTATGGCCAAGTAATATTCCATTGTTTGGCTGTACCATATTTTGTTTATCCAACATCTGTCATGGTTATCCATTGGCTAGTCTGAAGAACGCTGCTATGAACACACTTGTACAAGAGTTCGTACGGTTATGTGTTTTCAATTCTCTTGAATAAATTTCTATGAGTGGATTTGCTGGGCCATATGCTAACTCTATGTTTAACTTTTTGAAGAACTGTGAGACTGTTTCCCAAAGCAGCTGCATTATTTTACATTCCACTGGCAATGTATAAAAGTTTTGATTCTTTTCTTAACTCTCCCCATCTACTCACATTTCTTCTTTAGCTATAGAATTTATAACTGAATACATCACTTCAAGGATGAGCCAGATTATAAAGAGAGAACCACCTCCTGGTTTCTTCACGCTACAAGATAATTGATACCTTCGAAGATTCTTTGCTTCTAGATCTAAAGCAGAACACTGATGCTGATTGGTGACCATCCTTCCGTCTATTAAGTCACCTGTGTATTTTTTCTGCCTTATTATTCCATCTTTCTTTAACCTATAATTATAAAGTTTTCTTTTTTCTTCAAATGTAATGTAATGAATGTCCTTATTTAATTTTTGTATTATTTTATCGGGAGTCTATTCAACCCATTCAAGTATTTATTGAGCACCTGCTTTGAGCCTGGCATTTCTAGCACTGGAGAGATTTTTTTAAAAAAAGTATAGGGCTAGTTCTTTCTCTTGAATAACTTTCTACCTCATTGGAGAGCTGAGGAATAAAGAAGGCATGTGTCTGAATCATTGCCCAAATGACTGTGGGAACCTATGGTTCCCACACCATCAGAATCATCAGGCATCTTAAAAAATATACACTAATTTTCATTATTAAAGTTGTACATGATCACGGTAAAAATGTATAAACAATATGGAAAAGCACAAAGGAAATAGCAATAGTCAAAATTTTGCCTTCTGAGGTCACTGTGTCTCCTCAGTTTCTGCTTGGGGAGCTGGTGGAAAATTTAGATTCCTACAGCCTTCCATCCTGACATTAATTCTGGAGAAGTGGGTCAATGCACAAATGCTTCAGGAGATACAATACGAGAGCTGGGTGGCCAAGAAAGTCAAGGAAATGACCCAGGAAACAATGGCTTAGGCAGTGATAGCACATGTTTAAGTGCTTGGTATAAAGCTGTATGCAATATAAGTTATTATTATGAAATAAATTACATCTGGACCTAAGAGGATGGAAGTGTTTTAGATACGTGCAAAGGAGCAAAGGAGAGGGAAACCCGTAGAACAGGAAAAGGAGGTGTGGGTGTGAGGCTTAGAGGTAGGAGGGCAGCCTGGCTGGGAAGATAGTCGGAAGGGCAGCTGGAACTCCCACAGGAAGAATAAAGGTAGAGCTGAACATCAGAAGGTCCCAAAAGGGAAAATGAAGTGTGGGAGTCACTGGGGGTTCTTGAGAAAGAAAATGACATGAGGAGTAGTTGTCAATTCCAGGTTCGGCACTCTTCCTTGGGGCCACTCTGGGATCTACTTCTATAATGAGAACAGACATAAACAGTCACTGCCACCCCCCCCTAACCGGGGCCTTTGAGCACAGAACTGCCAGTAAGTGCCACGGGGCCTCCCAAGGCCAGCTCTTCTTTCTTTATCCCCCACTCTATTTTTGTCTTCCCTTCTCAGATTACTGCTCCGTCTTCAACCACCTTCTCTCTGGGTCTCCCCTGTTCTACTCCTCCCTTGTCCAGAGCAAAAGTACCATAACAAGTGATAAAAAGCTTTGGGCTATTCAGAGTAAACTGATCCCTCCTGTGAGAAGTGCTAACTCTCTGTTTTAATTACTCATAGCTCCTTGGGGTAAACAGCATATTCTGTAAAGGTCACATAAGCCTCCTCTTTCCCTGCTTTCTGGCTACAGGAGTTACAGTGCAGCATTTTGTCTACCTTACAAGATATTTATAATGAGTGCAGCTGCCCTCTATCATGTATATCTGCATCCCAGGATGACAAAAATTACTTTCCCAAGGTCACTCTAGAACAGAGCTCCCTTTTGAATCAGGAAAATGTGGCGAACTCATTCCCAGTCTGAGTCCTGACTGGTTTATGCCCCCAAGAGACCCCAAGTTCTAGATCAACACTGCTCCTTCCAAGAGACCTCTTTTTAAAAATATCTTAAACACTGTACATGAGTCCAACATGGGGTTTGAAAGAGATTAACTTGACTCCTGCTGTTAAACTAATGAGCATTCCAAGCCAGATCATTCTTTTACTTATTTCTAAGGGTTAAAGCTGAAACAAAATAAGCAACAGTTTTGGGAGACAGAAATCTGAGTAGATCCTTACACATACAGGAAAAATATGTATTCAAGTTCCCTTTTTTAATTGGATTCATTGCATAGTGTTTTACTGAAACACTGAAGCTTTTATATTGTAATTATGTTGATAAATTTGGTGTGATGAGAAATTTTACTTGCCCACTATAAATCATTTTAAAAAGCCTGGTAGTTTCAAGATGTCAACTTTCAGAACTGACATGTAAAACATATGGGAACATAATTATTTTCAAAAAATATTTAAGCTCCAAATCATTGAATAAATTCTGAGATGGGATTTGTGAGATCTGATATGTATGTCTACTGAGAGCAATTATGCAGAAGGGTGTCTCAATTATTGATTAATCACAAAGTTGTAGAGCCAAGATCTCCAGAAAAAAACAAAACATGCTCAAATCACTATATGTATATATGCAATCTGGACTCAAACTGACCCATGCCAGAAGAGGTCAGTTATTTGCTTGTTTTGAGATGTAAAAGAAGGACCCTCTAAACTTTGTATCTCCTGTTTCTTAAAAGAATAAATGAATTATATCCAGATAGGTGCCTACCTCTACAGAAATAAGGCCTCCCCATCCGGTAGCTTGCTCTGGCCTGATGAGTCAGTGCCCAACACTTCGGCCAGTCTGGGGCCCTTACCAAGGCCATTTTTTAGAATAGGCTTCCCTGCTGAATTTAGAATAGAGTGGACATTTTATTTCCAGTTTCACAAAGCACCACAAGATAGTCTTATATCACTCCATCCCGTAAGACTTTCCAGGTATCCTCATTAATGTGTCTATGCTTTAGGGTAAGAGAGATTCCCTTAAACTATCTTTCAAAGGGGATTTTCACCCTTATTTTCTTCTAAGCCCTATTACATCCTTAGGGCTCCAAATTTTTGCCAGCTTTTAAGAAGGTGGCTCTTCCTGAATTCTTTGGAGTTTGAAAAGCTGAAAAGAAACACTGCTATCTTCTATCTCAACCCCCTCAATTTTCATATAAAGAAACAGAGAAGCAAAGAGATCGAACGGTCATTCTCCACCCATTGGTCACAGTTGTGTCGTTTTACATACGTGGTGTGTGTGCAGATGAATTCAAACAGAATGAGCAGTCAATAAATCTATGAAGTGAAAAATGTCCTTTTGTTAATTAACATGACAGTTATCTTTAAATAATCTCTCTTTTTTTTGGAGGAGGAAGGAATAAACGAGTTTAGCTTCTTAGGAAAAAAAAAACCCTGTGGACAATATATTTTCTTTTGGGATATTCCAAAGCTTCAGCTTAGGTGTCTGGACAACCAGAAATATTTTCAGGTAGATTATAAAGGATTCTTTAGCAAAGATTCTATTTCTCAAAACACAGGATAATCTATCTAGGATAGTGCTTCAAAGTTTCTTTATTTCCAAATAGACCTCTGAGCTGTTTCTCTTAGCTGAAGAGGCCCGCCAAGGGAGATTACAACATAAAGTTCATAAAGGCTTTGGATACAGCCTTATCTCTGGTTTATCAAAGTGATGTCTGGATCCTCTTAGGACATAGACAGAGCTTCAGAAGTTATACAACCAAGTATTTCAAGTTTGAAAGTACCCTTTATCCTTTTCTGTCATGCATTTTTTCCTAGTTACCTCACTTCTATCTTTCACTCGACTTTCTGATTAAGTGGAGAGAGCTGGAAGAGGCTCACTGTAACATTAAACTCAGTATCCGTCTGCTATATGAATATTCCCTCAGCAACATCTTAAGGAGTCCATCCCATTTTGAGCTTGTTCTGTTTTTTATAAAATATTTTCTTACCTACTCTTAATTTGTATTTTGGTAATTTTCACCCACTGAACACTGTTTTTCTTTTTCTTCCTTTTTTTTTGTTTTTTTCTTCTGCAGTGACAGATTTCTAATATTCTTTAACAT